ATTATTAATTATTATATTTCTTATTCAATTCCATCATCATAATCAAATAATAATTGATTATTCATTAATTGATTTTGTATTAATTTTTATATGGTATTTCTAACACCATCTTCATTTCTTAATAATATTTATTATAAAAGCAATAAAAACATTAACGTGTTAAAACAATTAAAATTAGAGACGACGAGGAAGTTTTTCTATATCAAATTTATGATTACCCACAGTCATTAATGGTACACCTGGAATCTTTCTTAAACGACGTTTTAAGTCCTTATCACAAGTACATACAATATATATTCTATGTGCTGTTACTCTTTGTACAATACAATCATCTCCATAATGACCTTTGTGGTCACAAGTCAGTCTCTTAAAACGAGGATCACGAGCAATCTTTAATGCCATTTGAAATTTCTTTCCAAGTAATTCTAATTCAGCCATGACACAATCAGTGATGCAAGGAATAACTTTAGCCAATAAGCATCTCATTGCACCCTCAAAAATATCAACTTTCTTACCTATTGAAAATTGAATAAAGTTAGTATCAAGAAGAAGATGATAAGGAGGACCTAAATTAGGATTATCAGCAAAATACTTATACGACTCATCAATAGGACTAACAACTACTTGTTTAGGTGTTTCTTTTACAAGTCCTAATTCCTTTAATTGTTTTTCACGCTTAGTTGGTTGTGGTTTTAAACATGTCACACTTTTTGGTTTCAATAATCGTGGACGACTTGCAGCTTTAGGCATTAATGACTTTCTTTTGTCATAGATTTTTCAAAATTAGGGTTAATTTGTGTTATTCAAAAATTGTGATTATAAAAAATTATGATGTTTTTTGTTACAAGAACTTTATAATAAACTAAAAAGAGATTTAGAAGGAAAAAAATGAATGATACAAATCATACAAGTTTTAATGAGAGGGAGGGAAGAGGAGAGATTGTTTCATATTTATTAAGAAATTCTAAGAAAAAAAAGAAAAACTTGGAAAAAAGAAAAAGAACAAAAAGGTACTACATTTCATTTAAAGCTAATAAACATGCAAAAAGAGAACCTCTCTATAATAGAAATGTGGAAAAAAAATCGTTTTGAAGAACGGAGGATTGAGATTGTCCAATACAAAAACCGACCTTTTATTCAAATTGATAAGCGTCCACGAATTGATCTAACTAAAGCCATTGTTAGTAGGACAATAGAAATGGAAATACCAATAGAAGAAAGTAAGAAATCACTTTGTTTTGAAGTTGTTTATGATAAACAATTTGTCTTTTTTTGTAAAGACGATGATATGGTTAGATATTGGGTAAATAAAATGGCATTAGTTTCAAAGACATTTGGAGTATTTGGATATCCGTTATCATGTGCAGTAAAAAAGTCGTCATGGCGTTTTCCTATTCCAGTATTTAGATCTTTACAATATTTATTAACACATGAAGGAAAAGAGTTAGAAGGAATATTTAGAACTAATGCATCTCATGTATCGTTGTCAAGAATTAAAACAATATTAGATTGTGATCAAGATGTTGATATGGAATCATTTGATGATTGTAGAGTTGCAGCAGCAATATTAAAAGACTACCTTCGACAACTACCAGAACCATTAATCCCATTTGAATATTACAAACAATTTATTGAATTACCACTAAAAACCACTGACCCAAAGTTGTTTATGGAAAGTCTTCCTAAAATGAATCAAGACACACTATGGTATTTATGTAGTTTTTTATATGAAATTCAGTTAAACGAAGAAAAAACAAGAATGAATGCATCAAATTTAGCCACGTGCATTGGACTAACTGTTTGTAGACCACCACCATTTGAAGGTGTTGATGAATTAATTCATACAAAAAATGCCATATCTGCTTTTGAGTTTGTATTAAATAATTACGAACCATTATTTTTTTCTATTAAACAACGTAATGAAAAAGAAGGATTAATACCACCTGAATATCCATGTGTTATTCCCCACCAAAAAATACCATTTTGTAGATTAACTAGTATGATCAAAACTACTATTAAAAAAGATTCAGATTTACCTCAAGCAACACCTCAAGTAAGAACAAAAGCAAAACTTAGTAAATGCAACAGTGAAACAAACTTGACTCCAGCACTTGGTATAGACAAAAATAAAAATATTAAAGTTCCTGAAGTACCTTCAAGTCCTAAAGAAGAATTAAATATCGAAAAATTAGACGAAGGAACAGAAAAAGAAAAGGAATTAGAGCATTGTGAATCACCAATCAGTGATGGAACAACACCAAAAATTAAAAAAGAAAAAAAAGAAAAGAAGGGAAGAAAAGGAAGTATTGAAGGAAATATTAATACATTAATTGCTAAAGGTTGGTCTAAAATGAAATTTGAAAGAAAAACAAATACAATATCTTCTTCTACCACAACTGAATCAAAAGAAGATAAAAAGAAAGATGAAAGTAAAGAAAAAGATACAAAACCTCCAAGAAGTCCAAGAGGATCTTTATTACCTTCTACTTTTAAAAAACTTTCTCAAGAAAAGGAACATAAACGAAATGAAACTACGGAATTAACAGATGAACAAATACTTACACAACATATAACGGAAGTGCAAATAAATCTTATTGAAGATTTAAAAAAAGAATTAGTTAAATTAAACGATGAGTTAAATAAAGTTAAAGCAGAAAGAGATTATCTTAAAAAAAAATATGAACCAGAAAGTTTTATTGAAACTAACAAATATGGAATTACTACTGATAATCAATTTTCGTTTACTCAAACTCAATTTACTGAAGAAAAACATGAAGACATTCATGTTCCATCTTTCAGTGATTATGGACATAATGAAAAACATAATGAAATAAAAGATAGCAGTGAAAATACTGTAGAAAATAAAGAAGAAAAGAATGAAGAAAATAAAGAAGAAAAGATTAAAGAAGAAAAGAATGAAGAATCTCCTTTATTAAAAGAAAAAAATGTAATTATTGAAAGCGATATTGAGTCACATGAAATTGAAAAAAAGGAAGAAGAACCAAAAGTAATATTATCTAATTCAGGATCTACACATCTTTCAGATGAAGATTCTGAAATATCAAATAATGAAGTTAAAATAAATAATGAATAGAAATAACCAAGAAAAGTAAAACATAGTATATTAACTTCATCAAGAATTTATATTTGATCAATTTATATCAATTTTTGTTTGATGATTTGGTTTTAAAGAAAGAAAAAAAAATAGAATAGAAATTTAAAATAGAAAAAGAACTTAAAAAATTAATAAATTTCTTTAATGGTAAAATACAAGAAACCTTTTTGGATGAATCATAATGGCAATCCTATATTTTGTATGGACTCTCATCCTAAAGAACCTTTAGTAGCAACTGGTGGTGGTGATGGTAAAATTAAAATTTGGAATGTTAGAAGTTTATATGAAGATAATGTAGAAGATATTCCTAAATTACAAGCAGTTATTACATTAGCACATAATGTTAATTGTTTAAGATGGTCAAAAGATGGAAAATTATTGGCATGTGGTTGTGATGATTCATCTGTTACGATTTATAAATTATCTAAAGTAATGGATGAAGGAGCATTTGTCAATGAAACATTAATATTTAGAGAATACGAATTAGTATTTATATTACGTGGACATAATGATTCTGTTACAGACCTTTCATTTTCATATGATGGAAAACAACTTGCCACAGCATCTTTGGATTGTAAAGTTATTTTATGGGATATAATAACTGGAAAACAAATTGGAGTATTGGACCATTCATTACCTGTTTATGGAGTTGCTTTTGATCCATTAAATATTCTTCTTTTTTCACAATGTTCTAATGCAGCAATTATATGGAATGTTGCTAAACAACAAGCAGAAAAGAAGATTACAGAACAGTTTAAATTGGCATCACATTCAAACTTTTTTTTAAGACCAAGTTGGTCACCAGAAGGAACACAATTAGTTATGGTTGGAGCTATTTCACAAAAGAGATATGTTGCGTGTGTTACACATAGAGAAATGAATGATGTAATATCATTTCAAGGACATAAAAATGAAGTTGTTTGTTGTAGGTTTTCACCATGCTTATATAAATCAGTAAATTTTGATGGAAAGAAACGAGCGTTTAGTTGTTTTGTTATTGGGGGATTAGATAATTCACTAAGTGTTTGGGTTGCAAGAAAACAAAACCAAGTATGTCATTTCTTAAATGTGTTTAAGGGATGTATTCAAGATATTACTTGGTTACCTGGAGGATTAAGAATGATGGCATGTTCAGTTGATGGATTTGTTGCATATTTTGAATTTAATGAGAATGAAATAGGAGGAGAAGTTCAAGGAGAAGAATATTTAAATAAAACTATTGAAAAATATATGTTAAATCAACAATCGATTAAAGAGCCATTAATTCCAAGTGGAGTAAAAAAACAAACCACACAAACTACACTTAATTTTTCAGGTGGTAAACTTACAGTTGAAAGACCTGTAAAGAAAAGAGTTCAACCAGAACTTGTAACTGAACAACCACAAAAAGTTGAATTAGATGAAAAAAGTCAATTAGAAAAGAAGTTATTAGAAAGAGAAAAATTAGAAGAAAAAGCAAAAGAATTAATTGAATCAGAACGAAGAAGTGAAACAAGGAAATCATTAGTAGAAGAAAGTAAAATTGAACGAGAAAAAATGAAAGAAAGAATAAAAGAACGATGGAGTGAAGAAGAAATAAAACCAAGAAATGAGAGATTAAGTGAAAAAAGAAAAAGAGATAGAAAAGATGAAATACCTGAAGATAATGAACTTAAAAAGAAAACATGGCAATTAAAAGAATTAGAAATATGTGATAGTATTAAAAAAAGTATTATGATAAATAAAGTTATGTATGATATTATTGCAGAAAGAAATACTGGAGAAAAAATTATTACTACTATTACAGAAGAACGGCATCATGATAAAAAAATAATTTGGTCAACAATTATTCCATTTAAAGTAAGAAGTATTATTGCAACTGAAACACATGTTTTAATTGTTAGTGAACATGTATTATATTTATTAAATGTAGATACTGGCATTATGGAAACTAATCCTATTGTTATTACATTTAATTTACATAAAGCATTTTTAGATGAAAAAGTAATATTGATTGATGTTATGGGAAATATACAAGTATTAGATAAAGAGTTTAAAAAAATATATAATGGAAGTATTAAGGAATTATTAACAACGTTTGATTGTACAGAAGTTACAAAAGCTATTGTTGTAAAAGGTGTTATACAAATAGAAATTAATGGAATGTTTTTTGCAATAGATGGAGATAAATTTGTATTAACTTCTATGGGAAGAATAAAACCAAATTCATCATCTATTGAAGAAAAAACAATTCTAGAATTAAATATTAGAAGTCAACTTAAATATGGTTTACAAAATTCATTTGATGGATTAATCAATTCATTTTTATCTATTTGTAATACGTCAAAAGATACAATTAGAATCAAAGCGTTGCACGACACATTATTTGAATTAACAAAAACACTTCCAAATAACTCATCATTAAAAAATAAATTTATTGGATTAACTGAAAGAATTACAGAAATATTTATTGCTATGAAACCCTAAAACTAGTTTTTAATTCGAATTTTTTTTATTTTCGTTTTATTTGTATTTTTATTTTAGAATTATTTCTTTTTAAAAGATAAAAATTAATTTAATTTAAATATCTCTTAGGAATGAGTCTATTAATCATCTTTCTTTTAGTTTTTATTTCAAATGCACTTGTTCCATTGTCAACATGTTTAGAAGGAACATCTACTTATTATACTTCATACACTGAGGGTGGTGCTTGTAGTTTTGGTCCAATGTCAACTAATATAAATAAAGGATATATTTATGCAGGGGCTTTAAATGAAGCAATGTATAATAATGCCATTCAATGTGGAATTTGTTATGAAGTTGTTGGACCTAAAGGAGTTATACGACTAAGAATTGTTGATATGTGTCCTGCAAATGATGAAAATCCTAAATGTAAAGGAGATTCTACTACTTTTGATATTGCAGAAAATGGGTTTTCATTAATTGGAGAAAAAAATAATGGAGGAGCAAATATTACATTTAGAATGGTTGCATGTGATATTGATGAAAATATTAAAATTGTTTCTTCTAAAGGAATTTCTAATACTTGGTATAATTTTGTTGTTAAAGATCATGTTATTGGATTAAAAGAAGTTAGAATTACTCATGATAACAGTACTTTTTATGAATGTAAAAGGTCTAAATCAAATACTTGGACATTTACATCTTCTAATTTACTAACTATTCCATTTACAATTGAAATGACATCAATTAATGATGATAAAGTTTATGCTATTATTAATGATTTTACATCTGAAAAAGAATATCTAGCTTTTGGTAATTTTAAAATACCTTCTGATACATTTTTTGATATTAAAAATTTACAAAAACATAATAAAAATAATGATTCTGAAGAATGTTGTTCAATGGTTGATGAATATTCTATTATTTATGACGATAAATTTGAAGGAACTTGGGTTGAAAATTCTAACTCATTAAATTCACTTGATTTAAAATATGAGAATGATTGTTATGAAGGAAGTTATTGTGTAAAAACAAATATGAAACAATATGGTGCATTCCATTTTTATGCACAATATCCAGCTTCACTTCAACAATATTCATCTTTCAAATTCTTTATAAAAGCAAAAAAAGAGTGTCAAGAATGTATTACTGTATTATGCGGAGATAAAAAGAAAATTATTTCTATTACACAAGCAGATGACTGGATAGAAGAAATAATTAGTTTTGAAGAATTAGGCTATACTAGTGATACTATTTCTTCTTTATCAATTCAAAATAATCAACAAGACGCTACTTATTATTTTGATTCCCTCTCTTTAATTAAAAACAAAAATGCACCTTCAACTGCAAAATGTTTTGATGAAAATATTATACCAAATTCAACAATATCAGTTTATATGTTTTTTGTTGCGATTATTTTAATAAGTTTAGTTTGACTTGAAGGTACTTTATTAAAGCTAATTTGACTATTTTTAGAATCCCTCATTTCAGAATTTTTATTATAAAAATTATTAATAAATTATTAAAAATTATATTTCTTTCGTTATCTTTGTAAGAGAAGAAAACTAAAATAAATGTGAGAAATCTAATTCAAAAAAAACTTTAAAAATAAAAAAGAACTTAGAAAAAGAACATTCTCATTGCTGTACCACTCATTTGAAAAGAACTTAAAAAAACTGAGAAATGTTTGTAGAAACTTCTTTAGAAAGGAAAAATAAGTCACAAAAAAATAAAAATAAAAAAGTAAATATCTTAGAGAAAAAAATTAGGTTTAATGGGTAAAAAAAGAAAATAATAGTAAGATTTATTAAAAAGAATAGTAATAACAAAATCAGAAAAAAAGGGATAAAATGAAACCAGAAGAACTTCAAAAATGTAGAAGTGAAAGTACAATGGGAGAATTTCAAAGTACACCAACAACTGAACAACACTCTGGGATTAAAAAAATCCCAAATGCTATAGTTGGATATAGCTCAATGCAAGGGTAGTTTTTTTTTCTTTATTATGTCTTATCTCTTTTATTCTTCATTCTTTTGATGCTTTTAAATTTACTTTAGACATATTATTTTAATTTAACCATATTCTTTGAATTCATAAAAATTGTCTTATGTAATAAAACAAAGCATCTCATATTTTTAGATGGAGAAAAACTATGGAAGACGCTCATCTTATTACAGATTTATTAGAAGATAAAGGGTTGATTGGAATTTATGACGGTCATGGAGGAATACAAGCATCTCAATACTGTGCCAATGAAATGAAGAAAACATTACTGAATTCTCCTCACTTCCCCTCATCTATTCAAGAGTCTTTAACTGAAACATACCTTTCTTTAGACTCAAAGTTAAAAACTCCAGAAGGATCAAAGATGCTTGCTGATATCTGTAAAACTGAAAATTATGATAACCAAATGTTGGTTAATGGAAGTTGTGAAGTTGCTAAAGATATTGGATCTACTGCACTTACTCTTGTTATTAATGAAAATGAAGTAGTTATTGCTAATGTTGGGGATTGTAGATGTCTTTTGTTGAAGAATG